GCTGATCTTTCTATTTTTTGTAGAGACAGGGTTTCACTATGTTGCCAGGCTGATCTCCTGGGCTCAAGTGATCCCCCACCACCACCCCTTGGCCTCCCAAAGTGCTGGGATTACAAGTGTGAGCCACCGCGCCCATTCTATTTCTTAATCTTAAAAATAAACTGTAGCTTAAATGAATCTGTAAATACACAGCAGGCTCTCTCCAGACCTGTCATGAGAACTTCACCTCAACTGATAAGCCATTCCTTAGCTGATTTTGAGAATGGAAATACACTGCCTTTACATACTTCCTGAAGATCGAATTATATTAGGAATCGATGCGGGAGAACCCACCTAAGTCCAATGATAGATGGTTGGTTCCAGTGTCTTACCAATTGTCAGGGCAAAATCCCACACTTCCCCACCCCCCACTCCAAAACAAGTATACTGCAGCTGTGGAAGAATGGCAGAAAATGTAGCAAGATTAGGATACGAATACAACCAAGAAAACAAGGTTTCGTTGTTGTTGGGGATCGTGAATTTCTGGCCCTTTACAAGTTCAGCTGGTTATATGTCTAACTTTAGGCCCAACGTCTACTTCGGGAGCACAAATCCTGCGCAGATTCTCTTTTAAGTCGCGGCCGGGAACTAAGTCTGGGAAAACTTGAGTTCCCCACTTGAAAGTCATGTCATTATGCTTTGGCCCTTAGAAGACATTCAATGGCTACTTTTTTCTTCTCTCTGCTAAAGCAAAGGGCACTCTCCAGAGGAAGAGCAGTGACAGCTCCACGTCTGCAAAAGTCGGCGCCGCCACGGCGGTGGCGGGCGTCGGGGAGAGCGCCGGGGCCAGGACCACCACGCCGGGGGGACAATGGAAGGAGGAGGGGAGTGGGAGAGAGAAGCGGAGGCGGCCGCTGTGCTGGGCCCTCCTAGCCGACCGGGGGCTTGGAAAAGTCTCGGGAAGGCCAGCCGGGTGGCGGGGGACCCGGTCGCCGCCCCTCACAGGGCCACGTCGCCCGCGGCGGCCGGGCCCCACTCGTAGGCCGAGCCGCCGGAGAGCGGCCCCAGGAAGGGCTGAGGGGCGAGGGACCGGACAGTGCCCACGCCCGTCGTGGCCTAGCCCTTTCACAACTTGGAGCCCGCAAGGCGAGGGCCTCCGAGAGCCTGCGCCAGGCACTGATCCCTCCGAACGTCCGGCCAACCCACCCCCACCGCCCGACCCGGGCCAGTAGCCTGAGCTCCCCGCGCCCCCGACACCGGCTCTGAGAGAAGGCGCAACCGTGGCTCTGGCGTCCCGACCCGCGAGTCCCACTCCTCTGCCCTACTTCTCGCCGAACATTCTCATCCGGACTCCCTCCCTCTCCTGAGAACTGCCCCGAGTTCGCCCACGGGTGTTTACCGGGACTCGGGGCGGCGGCGTCTCCTCAGTCCCTAGACTAAGATGGCAGCCGGTCTCCAGCCCCGACCACAGCTACTAGAGCGAGTTAGCGGCCAATGCGCAGGCGCTTGAGCGCGTGAGTGATCTGGACTACAAGCCCCAGGAGGCATTGCACGCTAGCCGACCAGCCCTCCTTCGGCTTGAAGAGCCAGCTGCGGTGGTAAATCCTGCTAAATCCCAATTTTGCACACCTCCAGGCTTTTTTCTTTTAACACCTCGCCCACCAGAGCCTATAGCGACTGTGATTGTCAAACTCTGATGTGCATCAGAATCACCTAGGGAACTTATTGAAACTTACACTGCTTGCCAGACGCGGTGGCTCATGCCTGCAATCCCAGCACTTTGGGAGGCTGAGGCAGGCAGATCACAAGGTCAGCAGTTCGAGACCAGCCTTACCAACAAGTCACTACTAAAAATACAAAAATTAGCCAGGTGTGGTGGTGCGCACCTGTGGTCCCAGCTACTCAGGAGGCTGAGGCAGGAGAATAACTTCGACCCGGGAGGCGGAGGTTGCAGTGAGCCAAGATCATGCCATTGCACTACAGCCTGGGTGACAGA